AACACTCGATCAAGATCTTACATTTAGTGACCACATTTCTAGCCTAAAGGCCAAGCTTTCTCAGCGTATTGGTTTATTGAAAAAGATAAAGAGATACCTTCCAATAAAAGAAAGACTCTTATACTATAACGCCTTGATTAAACCCGTCCTTATGTACGGGAGCATGGTTTGGAATATCTGCGACGTTAAAGAACTCCACTGTCTCCTAAGGTTACAGAAAAGGGCTGCCCGAGTAATTCTTGGAGTGGACTCTTATTCTAGAAGTGTTGTAAACTTTAGTAAACTAGGCTGGTTGCCTTTTTTTGATGAAATCAAACTAAATAAGTGTACAATGATTTTTAAGAGCCTTAAAGGCGATGTTCCGATTTACATCAGAGACTTGCTCAAGACGAACAGTTCTGTACACAATAGGTCTACTAGACATGGCAATTTAAATTTAGTGTGTCCCAAATACCTAAGAAATAACGATGGTGGCAAGGCATTCAGTGTTGACGCAGTTAAGTTATGGAACAGCCTTCCCCATGATATCAAAAATAAGCCTAGTATAAAACTATTCAAAACAGCTGTGAAAAAGCATTTTATAAGCTCATATAAAAACCTGGACAACTTTGAAACAATATTAAGCAATAGCACATTATCTAATTTTAATTTTTTATAAATTAATTTTATCTTTCTGAATATTTTTAATATATCCTGCTATTTCTATCATAGAATTTTGTAATTATTTATATATTTATTTATTTGTCAGTTTTTTGTAATGCTGTATAATCTAGTTAGAGGGCCACAGGTTTGTCAGCTTTTCAGCTGTTACGTGTCCCCCTCTATAAATAAAGTCCTTACTAATTGACACGAAATCAGGTTATTGGCAAGTAGAACTTCATCCTTCTGCCAGAGAAAAGACTGCTTTTGCTACACACAATGGCCTGTATGAATTTTTGGTAATGTCTTTCGGTCTTACAAATTCTGGACAGAGTTTCCAGAGACTTATGGGCCATATTTTGAGAGGATTGGAATATCGGTTTGCACTTATATATATCGATGATAACGTTATATTTTCAAAGTCGGTCGATGGACATTTGGTCCAATTAGAAGAAATTTTTAAGAGACTTCGTGAAGCTAATATCAAACTAAATCCAAAGTGTAATTTCGTTAAACAAAGGGTAGAATATCTTGGTAATATCGTAACTCCTGAACGTATTAGTCCCAACCCAGAAAAGATTCGTGTTGTGCAGGAATTCCCTACTCCAATTAGTCTCAACGAACTCAGGAATTTCTTAGGTCTCTCTAATTATTACAGGCGTTTTGTCAACGGTTTTTCTCATATAGCCAATCCCCTGAATGCATTGACTAAAAAGGGTGTTTCTTTCAATTGGACAGATGAGTGTGCCGTTGCTTTCAATATGTTGAAACGCGCTTTAGTGTCTGCTCCTATTTTAGCTTATCCTAAGTTTAAAGAGCCTTTTCTACTGTTTGTCGATGCTAGTTCTACAGGAATAGGATTTACCTTAGCTCAAGTCCAGGATGGCAAAGAAGTAGCGATTGTTTATAACGGTCGCGGTTTGAATAGTGCAGAGCGCAACTATAGCGCAACTGAGAGGGAAGCACTTGCGTTAATAGAAGGGATTAAGAAATTTCAGCCCTACCTTCAGAGTCGCCAATTCACGGTTGTTACCGATCACAGTCCGTTACGTTGGTTAATGAATGTTAAGGATGCTTCTGGTTGTCTTGCAAGATGGGCTTTACTTTTGTAATAGTACGATTTTGAGATTGTTCATCGCCCTGTTAAGATGCATGGCAATGCGGATAGTTTGTCTAGACGTCCTTATGACACAAGGGAATGTAATTCAATCCAAAAAGACGAGCCACAAGTAGCGAAAGTACGAGAATTGCGAAGGCGTGATTTTGACCTTAGTGAGATCATTGATTACCTAGAAAATGATATTTTACCGTTAGACGATACTGCGACGCGCAAGCTTTTACTAGTGAGTGATAGTTTTTACATCGAACGTGATGGTTTACTTTACCATTTAGGCAACAATAGAAAGCGCAATTCTTAGGATTCATTTCCTCAGCTCGTTGTACCTCCAGCATTGAGATTTGAAATTTTGTCGAACATGCATGACCACGTTTCCGGTGCGCATTTTGGAGTCCATAAGACTTTCAATAAGGTTAAGCAACGATATTGGTGGAAAGGAATGTACAAAGATGTTGAACATTGGTGTAAGTCTTGTACTGAGTGTTCCATGAGAAAATCCCCTAGGAATACCAAAAAGGCACCCTTACTTCCAATCCCAGTGGAGAATGCTTTTGATAGAGTAGCTGTTGATGTGTTAGGGCCTTTTCCACCTTCTAATAAGGGTAATAGGTACGTCGTCGTTTTCAGTGATTATCTTACTCGATGGTGTGAAGCATTTCCTGTTCCGAGCGTTGAAGCAACTGTAATTTCTCGTCTATTAGTGAATGAGATCATTGCCAGACATGGTGCACCTAGAGTTCTGTTGTCTGATAGAGGAAAAAATTTCTTATCTAAAGTGGTAGCAGA